TCATGTAAATATAGCATGAAATTCAGTCATATATTTCACGGTTTATACCCGGACTGTCGACAACAACAAATAATCAATCCAAATTTACTTGTCGACAGTCCGGGGAAAGGGAGATGATGTTTTACATGTGTGACTTCACAAACCAATTAAAAACAGAGTGCGATATATATCGAAGACATTAAATATTTATTTAGTCAATATAACAACATGTATGTATCATATGTCACAAAATTAACATATTTGTATATATATTTCTCATGAATCGAGCATACTCACCATAGCCTCTTGCAAATCAAACATTCTCTTTAATTAATTAACACCGTCACGGTGTGTTGACCACGCGATGTCGACACTCTGTGTTTTTTGTTCTGTCGACGGTTAGCAACATTCTATCTTTCATTTGTCGACAGATCGGGCTGACACTTATTTCACTAACATGGTACTGGCTAGTCGATTTGAACCACTGTTTCACGGTTCACTGACTGCCGTGGATGCATTATTATCAAGGGTACAGCTTCATTAAGCCTTATGCAACCAACCATAAAATGTGTTGTTTTAAGCGGTCTGTCTTTTGGGAGGTCTATCTAATGAGATAAAGCAATGCATCTGTTGTACAAGCGATTAAGAAATATTAACATGTCTATAGAATGTAAACTCTATTTATTTGATTGTACGATCTGCCCTATTTTGCTCTATGGGTGCGAAATGTGGGGATTTAAAAATGTAAAAGCAATTAAAACGATTCATACTGATTTATTAGATATATTCTAAACCTAAGACGCAGTATCCCAACATATATGTTGTATCGTGAAACTGGGAGATCACCTCTTACTGATAAAATCAAACTGCGCATGTTGTGTTTCTGGTCTAAAATAGTATCCGGAAAATGTAATTCTACGTTAACAGCATTATTTCAAATATCATTAACAAACTCAATGAAATACAACCGCAACTATAAATGGCTCAATTACATTAAAACCATATTAGATAATATTGGTATGTCCAATATATGGCACTCTAAAGATATAGTTTCCTTTTCTTGGTTCAAAAATGCTGTCCAACTTAGAATCTCAGACCAATCGCTTCAATTGCTTAACAACCCCATAACATCTTCCTCTAAAGCTGTTATCTACGAATGTATGAAATCTCATTATGATATCTCTTACGTAAATTAGGAACAAAGCACTGTAATATTTTAATCAAATTTAAAACCGCCAACCATAATTTACCTATTGAAACAGGTCGCTGGGAAAATATTCCCTCAAATAAACGATTCTGTCCGTCATGTCCCTCCCAACTCGGGGATGAGTTTCATTATTTATTTCAATGTAATGAATTTACTGCTTCCAGAAATATGTATTTAAAGAATTATTATGTAAACAACCCTAACTATTATAAAATGTCAGCCGTATTTGAAACTCATAATATGAAGCAATTAAGAAATCTATGTAAATTTATTTCCATTATAATGTCTGTCAACATGACATGATTAGTTTACCTGTACATAATTGCTGGATTTGTTTCAAGCCATAGCCTAAAAGTGATATATTTTTGAAAAATACCCCCATGATGCTTTGCATGTATTTGTAAACTTATGGTAATAAAAAGGATGACTGATTGATTGATTATGAGAAGATACCGTTTTTTTCCATGGGGCGGGATATAAATGATTTATTCTGCCTGATGATTTGTACTACACCACCCAAGCAGTGCACAGCCGTGCACCGGGCATACATGGTAATTTTGTTCGGTTGTAGAAAAAAAGTCATAGAAAAGAAAGTCATGGAAAAAAAGTCATAGATTTGGGTAGGAAAAAAAGTCATAGGCAAAAAGTCTTAAACTCAAAACAGGTCAGTATTGATAATGTATTTATTTAACAAGTCATAACAATATTATTATCAACAGCACTACCACATTTGAACCTGACTTATAAAATTAATGTAATCATTCAAGTAAAATACATGACATCAGAAAATGCACTATCATCATAACACTTTCATCTGCAACAGCACTACATCAGTCAGTTGTCCTAGCACATTTTATTTAACCGAATGTTCCAGCCAATGCCGTGAAGAGTTTGGATCACAGTCTTACGACCAGCCTGTCTTATATTAGCTGCTAGAAGGAAGCAATTTAAGTAAAAGCATTAACTGATAATCCCATGAGTTCATTAATCGGTGTGATATCGTCAAGTTCAAAGCTAGTTAAACAAACAATCATGTGACTTGTGACTTTTAATCCTACAATCCGTTAAGAACTAAACAAATAATAATCTGTTCATTTCTCCTGTTTTGATCAGATCCAATTGCTTACAGCGTCACACTAAAGGAATAATTAACTTGAAAGTGAAATAGTATAAACAAAGTAAATAACTGGAGAACATGATGTTTTATAATAGTTATTTTTTCTATGACTGTTTTTCCTATGACTTTTTTTCCATGACCTTGTTTCCTATGACTTTTTTCCGTCCACCATTTGTTTTCAGGGTCACGTGAATAAATCAGACATGAACATTATTACATGAGATAGGGTAAATGTGCATTGTACGTGCTTAGGAACCTTGAACTTGCAGTTACATTTCATTATTTGTGTACAGATATTGGTCTAGAATAATTTATCAATTCGTTTGGTCTTGAAGATGTATTGATGCAGGGTCTCCATTATGTTCTTGTTGACATTGTTGGTAGCTAGAGGTGTTCCTTTTTTCACAGTTTGGAGTGAGTGAACGAGTGAGTTTAGTTTTAGGCTGCACTCAGTAATATTCCAGCTATATGGCGGCCTCTTACGATAAGCATGGGTCACTGAAGGCCAATTCTAACCCGGACCTTCACGGGTTTCACAGTTTTATCTTCTTGAGAGGGTACGTAAGTCTCAAAACATTTGAGTACGTAAGTCCCAAAATCAATTTAAACTTACCAGGATTTTTAAAGGTAGTATTCTTGTAATTTTAACCTTTGCTAACATTTCTTACAATCACCAGCAGCTGAAGGGATGATGTAAACCCAGATAGGGTCCATGCAGGTAGCAAAGGTACTGTAAGTCCCCATGGACCCTAGTATGGTGATCTATCTTCAGTTGTTGGTGATCTATTGCCTATTTTTATATTGTGATGTCCCCTATAGTTAACATGTTTTAGATTCATTTACTAGTTTTACATTTATATATGTGATATTCTAGTTGTTTTACTGTCCTTCGTCGGCAGTTTTTTATACTATCTATATATATTCTATTTCAATGTCAAATGTTCTCGTCACGGTGTGGCTGAAATATTGCCGATGTGACGTTAAATAATAACTCACTCACTCAAAACATTTGAAGTAAATTTAGATATACCAGGTTTATAATAGTAGGATACTTGTGTTTTTAAGTGATGGCTAAATTTGTGCACAATCGCAAACGTATGAAGGGACCATGTAAGTCCTGCTAGGGTGGGTGGGGTGAGGGGGTGGTATGGGGACCATTGAGGGGGGCGAGGCAGGCTGATTGAGTGTTGAAATTGAGGGGCTACGGGCGGCCTTGACCGTGGAGTTTGTTATGGTTGGTGCTTGAGAGGCGGCGGGGGTCGGTGGTGGCTGGAGGCGCGCGGACCTCGGAGGAGACAGTAGTTGTTGGGAGGTAGAGTTTGTGTGAAATAGTGAAAGAATAGAGAGGCGCGCGGACCTCTGAGAAGACAGGTGGTTGGAGAGAGAGAGTGAAGTTATAGATGGCTTGATAGTGAGCAGAAAGTGGATCGAGATTGCTAGGTTGAGAGGTGGGCGCGGACGTTGGAGAGGACAGTCACGTACATATGGTGAATTTGGAGTGACTACATACCTATCCGTGAAACAATGAAGTAATAAAACAATAGGCGAGAGCTTTCAATACAACTGATATCTCATGACATGTAATTAATGACAGATGGTCGGATTGGGGTGTGCTGATAGTTATAGCCCGGTAAAGCCACTTTTAAGAAAACTAGAGTTGAAAATGGTTTGGCTCAACCGGCAATGGGTATGGTTGAGTGATCGTGTGAATGTGGGTCTCCCGGCAATGCGCTATTAGCTAATCCATGTTACCGTTAATAATGCAGATTTTTTAATATCACTCTAAATTAGCCGAATTAAGTCAAAATGAATTGAAATTTTGTGTCATGATGTTTATAAACATACGCTCATTTATTTACAACCTTCAAAACATGGAAAAACATGTATATAAAGGCAATATTCTCGCCCATGGGCCAACACATTTTTCGCCCATGAGCGAGATGTTTTAATATTGCTCTAAGTTAGTCGAATTAAGTCAAAATGAGTTGAAATTTGTGTCATGATGCTTATAAAGATACATTCATTCATTTACAACATCCAAAACATGAATTATGATCGAAAATACACATTCAAGCCCATGGGCCAGTGTTCGCCCATGGGCCGGCCCATGGGTGAGCGAGTTTAAATTTAAAGTTTTCGAAAAATTTCTTTTTCATTTTTTCATCCTTGGCATATATTCATAACAACTGCATGTTTAATTTGGTCAAATCCTTTGTCAGAAAGTGCTCACAGTACGGAGAGTTTCTGGACTTTTGTGAGTCCAGAATTAAATTGTGACGTGTTAAATGCTTATTCTTTTCTTTTGACACCAAGTGGATTCTGTTTCAGCAGATAATTGAGATTGATATTTATCTGGCATTGACGATTTATGAATAAGATAACATTTACATACGTCATATAATTTGTTTGAGTGTGTGAGTTTAGTTTTGCGGCGGTCTGGAAATAATCGAGTCTGGACCAGACAATCCAGTGATCAACAGTATGAGCATCAATCTACGCAATAGGGGTACGAAGACATGTCAGCGAGCCTGACCACCCGATCCCGATTACGACAAGCATGGGTTATTGAAGATCAATTCTATCTCGGATCTTCATGGTTTCTTATGATTTGTGTAAGGATGCCTTTGAATTTTCAGGCAACAGAGCTCGACCCATGTCTATACACATTTTTTAACGTTCATGCATTTCCAGTCTTACCTTGTTCCAGTTCATAATTCTACTGTGGATGAAGTCAGCGTCTTTCAAGCCACTTTCCATATACTGGATATCATTTAGATGACACGTTCTTGGGCCTGATTCAAATTGGAAGGATTTGCATATCCCATAAGAGGCACATTCAGCAGCACAGGCGAACAGAGATGACTTTTCGATCATCTTAAACGTTGATCCAACCAGACGTTTTCCATATTGTAGATCCGGCATACATGTGTTAGTGAACTGTACCAAACTCCCAAGTATTAGGCAACAAATGTACATGATTTCGACACATCCAAGACAAAAGCGAAACATGGAGAACATGATTTCAGTAGCAAAAATGATGAGCTGTTTGACTCCTTAAATGTGGCTGAAGGAATACACGGGAAAACGATACGCATACGACGCTGCACCTCAACTTCTATCCATAACCTTCTGAACAACTTCATGAAATATGTATCAAAGCTTTTCAACAATCGATAAAATTTTTAGTCGTTACCGATGTTGGGTCCCAGAAGGTAGAAGCAACATCAAATGAGCATCTGTTGCCACCAGTGCATGTGAAGCTTAGATCTTATTGTCACTTGCAGGATCAGATAAGAACAAACGTTATGGATGAGAACAAACGTTATGGATGAACAACTTCTTTATTCGGGTGATAGGACGTTTCGATGCAGATTCTTGCATCGTAGTCAAGCCGTATCGAAACGCTTGACAATGATACAAGAATCAGTATCGACACGCTTGACAACGATACAAGAATCTGTATCAAAACGCTTGACAACGATACAAGATTCTGTATCGAAACGTCGCATCACCCGAATGAAGAAGTTGTTTGTCCATTAAGTTTGTCCTTATCTGATTCACCAACTTCTAAATATGCCACTCAAAGAAGGAACTTGCAGGATCCGCTTATTATTGGTACAACTTTAGGATTTGCTTCAATTTTGACCCATGTTCTATATGCCCTGTACCTCGTGTCCGGGACTCTCTTGAGAATATGAGGCAAATTCACACGATAATGTGTTTAACTTTTTATGGTTAATGACGTGATGGGTACTTTGGCCACTCATCTGACAACATCTATGGTCATCTGACGTTCAACAACTAATGCAAATCTCAGTCAGATGTCCCTGGTACAGTTGTAAGCTATTTTTCTCATTAAAGATAATATTAAATATCAATAGTTGTAGCACAATTTTCTTGAATATCCTACACATTTTTAACAGAATATATACATATGAATGTTGGACATTGTTTAAACCCATTAAAAATATGCTTTAGAGATTTCAATTTACGCTGCGCAATTTTGCATTTTCGCTTGAAATTTCGCAACAAATGCATAAGCTGTTTTGTTGTTTCAATTTAAAAGAATACCAAAGAATGTCTGCAGCAAACTAGTTACCACGTTTCATTCAAGTAAAACGGACTTAGTTCAATTGCCTCGAAGCCGCGCAAAGTTCGATTGCTGCGTGCAGGATATTTTCCCCCACATCGTGACACTCCCACCATCATATGGGCGACACGATTCCGGACAAAACGTTCATTTTGACATCGAGCATAAATCGTGTTTCGTCAGTGAACGATAGGTTTTGTAGATTCCAGAATCGAACGTTATTGCACCACTGGACCCGTCGACGTCGATGTAGTCGTCACAGCATAAGAACAGAAAAGTCCTACTGGCCAGAAGTCCAGCTTCTCGTAAACGATTACGAATGTCGTCGCCGACACTCTCCTTAATCCAGGCACTGCACTTGCACTTGCAGCTGTTGTGACAGTTTGATTACGCTATTGAAGTACCCGAATCTACCTATACTACGTTGCAGTGGTACGATGTTGCGTAGAACTGGTTTGTTAATATTGGTCCAATAAACGACTGATGGTACTCTGGTGAACATGGAGGTGACGTGCAACGGCAGATTGAGACTCCCCAGTCTCAAGACGTCCAATGACAATATTCACATTTACACAAGTGAGTCGCGGCATAACGATATTCCTTCATTTAGCTAAAAAAATGTCAATGAACCTCTTAAAGCAAAACGGCCTTATATAGGCAATGACCTCGCTCACGATTCCTCAGAACTGCACATGCATATTGCGGGCTACTTTTTCTCCATGCATTTCATGCAAGTTGACACTTTCAAACGTAAACGCGCATTAAAGTTTCCGAAGAAGCGTTTTTGCGCTGTGCCTTCGTTCCATGTACACAAACCAGCATTATAATGGTTTGTGTAACAATCAAACACTAGTTTTGAAAAATATTTGAAATTTCATGTATAAATATTTCCTAAGCGTTTCTGTTTTGGGAGAGTAAATAGTTCTCAATTATGTTCTTGTTGTTTTTGTTAGTTATATACTGTATATACATAACTCTGTTTTCTAGCTGATTCACTACGTCTGCCAAATGCTCAACGGCGTAGGCGACCTTTATAAACACCAAATATTAAGTCAAGTCAGGTGACAACGACACACAGAATCTGTAGCATCACCTGAATAAAGAACTGTTGTTCACCAAAAAGGCTTTCTTTCACTAGTATACCTTAGTTAACGCTCGGGCGGCGGGGTAGCTTAGTGGTTAAAGCGTTGGCTCGTCACTCCGAAGACCCGGGTTCGAATCCCCACATGGGCACATTGTGTGAAGCCCATTTCTGGTGTCCCCGCCGTGATATTGCTGGAATATTGCTAAAAACGGCGTAAAACCATACTCACTCACTCACTCACTAGTTAACGCTCAGGGCCTAGATTTTCGATAGTCGTAAGTTAATGTTAATGTATGGCACTTACGACTGTCTTAGTGCTAAGAGAGCTTCGAAAATCTAGGCCCTGGCTTATGTCTCAACACGGACACAGTGTTCTTGTTGGAACCTCTTCTGGAATGTTGCTAACAGATTGCTGGAATATTGCTGAAATATTGCTGGACTATTATTGTTGCTGGATTATTGCTGGATCATTTCTGGAATATTGTCAGTCCCAATCGTTCAATAATTTCCATGTATCACACAGAGTGTGATGCATCACCTGATTTACATATTTATATATATTCATGCACACATACTATGCATACTTCCGCACACATTTTCAGCAGGAATTCTACACAAATCACAACGTGCTTTTAAAATTCGCGTGATGTCAGACTCGACGTGACATGAGATATAAATATATTATGTGTTGAGTTCCTGACAGACACAAACATAATCTGTATAAATATGAAGTGAGTTAAGAACACAAACACATAAAATTACCTTTTTCAACAAAAGAGTCAAAAGAGTGTTCATCATTTTAAGTGTTATTGTTTTTCTAACAGTGGGATTGTGAAATGAAAGAAAAACAAAACAAAGTACAATGCAATTTCTCCAGACGTGAGTTAGAGAGCCACGCACTTTTACGCAACGTACTGTTCAACATAAACAATCTATGTCGTACCTGGTAAAGAACACAAATAAAAACGTATCCTTGCCTTCACAAACAGCGTTAAATCACGATCAAGATAAACCCTCTGGTTAGTGGTTGACGTAAGTGAAAACAGCATAATCCGTTTTCCGCTGGCCCCGAGTCAAGTTTTCGTGAATCACGATTTCTTGCGAGAGTTGGGACATGTGCTATCGCATGTGGTGGAGGTTTGTTTTGAGCTAGCGGGGAGTTTGGTTGTGATAACCTGCAATTATCGGCATGTTTACGTTATGTTTTCACAGAGGTAGGTTGTCGGAGAAACGTGAAAAAGGATAGCCACAAAACAGACAGATCTGTGTACATTTATTGTAATGCGTCTTAAACAGCGTTTAAGTTATATCACGGCGTGGCAGCTTGGTGATGGAGAAACTGATTGAGAAAAGCCCAACTGATGCAAGTCTTAAACGTTTACCATTTTGGTAAAACCAAGAACATGGGCAAGTCGCTGATATACCCGAAACATGAACTGATTTACATGTATGACACGTAATAGAAACGTACTAGAAACCAAGAGGTTAACGTGACAGGCGCTAGGCTGCAGGATAATAGTTAACAATGTCTGTCAGTCGAGTTGTACCTCATTCATCTTCCTGGCGTATTTATTTTTCAAAAAAATCCCGATGTTTCAGATAACGCTCAATCTCTAATATAAACATAAAAAGAGCCAATCAGATAACTGTCTCTATTCAGTGCGGAGTAGGTCGAGGCCAATGGCGTCCACGGCGAACGGGCACGACACATTCTCGATTGCGATGAATAAATGTAGGAAAACTGATTTTGGCAGTAACATTTAAGTGTCTCGGAAAGAATGGCGAATAACGCGCTGACACGTGCCTTTGATTCAGGATGTTTTGGTGCGTGCGGGTTAGATGTACAAGTTTTGAGCAGGGAGTTTGACTCGGAATCGAAAAATCACGATTTGTTTAGATTTCGAAGACCTTAGCTCGCAAAGAGCGTTTTCGATTTGTATGATCTATGTGTCAGTTCGCAGCTGAATGTATTGGCTTGATATGCGTGTATAGTTTTATACGGGCATTTAGAGAGAGAATTCTTCAATTCTTCCTGGAACGAACTTAGTGTGTTGAACTCGTTACATCCCTTTCCTTTTATATGGTTCTAAGACCCCGGTAGTAACAATATGTACCTTGATCCTAGGTTGTGTTACAAGGCCTTGAGGATGGTTCAGTACTTCTAGACGGTACAGAAATGGGTGCCATCCCAGCAAGGTCGCCATATCAAATCAGCACAGGCTCAACTTTTCAAGAAAGATTCATATACAGTGTATTGAGAAGAAACGCAAACCTTCGCTTGCAAGCATGAACTCGGCTGGTCTGAATAGTGAAAAAGAAGGCTTTCTGTTTGCAGCTCAGATTGGTCACTTTCCGTTCGCAACCATAAATGAGTGATTTGCAGCAAAATGTAAAATTACAGGCCACTTCATGCAACAGACTCAACTTACAGTAAAGATTTCGAATTGCCATGGAAATGTTGGTTGGCTATTATTTGAGCCTCATATGGTCTGTGTACAGACATGTATTATATCGATCAGCCATCGTATGTTTTGCATTAATTACACAAAAAGCTACTATGAATGCCTTTTACTGGATTGTTTATAGAACAGCAAATCTAGACCCGTGCACTTCATCTCAAGCTCAAGAACAAACTACAATTTAGCTCTCTTTTAATTAACCCGTGAAGATCCGGGTTAGAATTGATCTTCAGTAACCCATGTTTGTCGTAAGAGGCGGCAAACGGATCAGGTGGTCAGGCTCGCTGACTTGTTTGACACATGTCATCGTATCCAAATTGCGTAGATTGATGTTCTTGCTGTTGATCCCTGGATTGTCTCGTCCAGATCCGATTATTTACAGATCGCCGCCATATAGCTGGAATATTGTTGTGTGCGGTGTAAAACTAAACTCACTCACTCTTTTAATTATTTAAAAAAACTGGCTTCGCAAATCATTGAACACCCGTTGATGAAAACC